GATTCTATCTGTGACATTGTTTTCAACACAGTAGTCCTTTGTGGTCCTTAGAAAATGTGTGTCAGACTGTACCTACTGTGACTAAGAACCAAAGTTCTGGCTGTAGTCTGCTTATACTTGTGCTTTCTCTTGCTGTGCCCTCACCACTTTGAGCTCTTCACTATTTGTTAAACACCCCACACATGCTCCTGCCCAAGGCCGCTGCCTTGAGGATCCTTCTTCCTGGAATGTCACTGGATTGCCTTCCCTCCTTCAAGTCTGTGCTCAGGTATCAGCTTCTTATTCAGGGTAGTAGTGCTCCTGCCTTGACCTCGCCACCCCATGCTTCTGTTGCTCCTTCTCTCACAGCACTTATCACCTCCTGCCATAAGCTTCCTTATTCTTTAGATCTATTGTTTCCTCCATTAGAAGATAAACTCCATAGGGGATTTTGTTTGCATCTGTTTTTGTTCCTCAGAATAATGCCTGGCAAACAGTAGCAAATTTTTGTTGAATTAATTCATTTTTCTGAGTTATTTTTTTTTCTTGGTCAGCCCCTCCTCAGCATTAGGATTCTGTGACAATCCAGTTTCCTACCTTCATCAAGCCCCTCATCTAGTTAAGGAGTGGTAGCCAGGGAATGGAATTCAAGAAAAACAAGAAATGGTTAAATGTTTGTTGTGTTGTTATTCTGAGGGGGAATAGACTGTGGAGTGTCCTGGATGGGCATTTTTAGTATCATTCTCATACACTGTCTCCTTTCCGACCCCACCTATTCCCTTCTTCCCTGGTCTGGGCTTACAAAATGCCACTTACCAAAAGCTCTGATCTGTTTCCTAAAAGTTGTAAATTATCGGCACCTAGGCTGGATTTAGCTTATATAAACATGTTTTGTTTGGCTTACTCATGTAGTGTTGATTATGTGGTTTTTGTTTTTGCTTTTTATTTTACTTATTGCTTCTTAGGATAATTTATTTATTTGCCAACATTTAGAATTCAGATGTTTCGTATGAAAATGTGGATTTCAAGCTTTGTTGGAAAAAATGGCAGTTCTGATAGGGCCTGCACTCTCAAGTCACAGCCAGCTGCTGGAATTGAGTAGCTGCAGTCCCCTTCATCCCAGCCACAGCTTCCTTTATCTTGACAGCCTCCTCTTTCACTTTCATCTTACCTGCCTTGTCCCTATAGGGATTTGACTTTAAAGCTGCTTCTTTTACTAGAATGCTCTGAGTAAAATTAAGCCACACTTTAGAAATTGAAGTTAACTTTCATGTATCTAAGGGGATTTTTCCCCCAATGCTGGGAATGGAACCCAGGGCCTCAAGTTTGCTAGGCAAAGTGCTTTATCACTGAGGCTCAACACAATCCCTTTGAGGGAACATTTAATGGCTTTTTTATTGTTAAATGACCTAGTACTATTGCTGTTGACCAAAAATGGAAACAATTTGAAGAAAGAGTGAAAGACTTGAAATATATTTCAACTTTTACACATGTATTCATCTGCTCATACCTTTTTAGTTTGTCTTAATCCTTTTATCTCTAGGCCCATAGCTGCTATCAGTTCATCCAGTGGTTTAATATAATAATTTTAAAAATGCATGATGAAGTGTCCAAAGATAGGAGTTTAGATGCTTCCTGTCATCTGATTGGGAGACATTAATAATCATAGGATTGGAATGCTAGGAGGATGGAGAGGGGAGTAAAGACAAGGTGGGAGAAATTATGATAAATATAAACTCAATAAAATGTCCGCCATAATTAGTGTCCTTAAAGCATTAATTGTCTGTGTCCAAGACTCAGTCTTAGGATAAAATAAAAGTAACCCCAGGATTAGTAGAGAAACCTGCAAAGTTAAATTCCAGACTGCTATGGGAAGTTGTTAAGGTGCCAGTGTTCAACTGAAATAATCTATTTTATGAAACCACGCATCATGGTTGTCACGGTGACCTTTGTATGTTTTTTCTTCCTTTTCTTGGTGGGGAAACTACCAGAGACTCTGGCTTGAAGGAGGGAGGGACAGGAGGATAGACAGAACCATCTGCCTTCAGCTACAAGACAGTGGTGTTTCCCTATAATAGAGTGGCTACGGCTTTGTTTATATTCTTCTATCAAGGGGATATATTGTCTTTTTAAAGGAAAAAGTGAAACTTGGATCCCTGGAGTGACTTTGGAGGGCTTGGAATGTTTTACTGCATAGATAGAGGATGCGATTTTACTCTGTAAGAATGAATTTAAGCTCTGATACAATGTGTTTAAGCTGCAATTACAAAGGATTTCAGAGCAAGCCATGAAGTCGTTTTAGCAGTTGGGAGACTTAAAGTCAGCTTATAGAAAACAGTCATCATTTCCACTAAACTAAGAAACCAACAAAAGAATCAGCATGTTCTCATCCAAGAATTCATATCTGACTGTGTGTTATGGTGCCCACAATACCACAGGGCTCACCAGTGCATCCCTCAGATAAGTTTTTCCTGATTCTTTGTGCTGATATCATATTTGAAACAGTAAATAGTCAACAAATTTGATTTTTCAAATCATACCTCCATTAAATTTTGAGAAGTCTTTTCTCAAGTGGCAAAAGAGCACAATCTCCATAGTTAATACATTTACCTTCCCTTGTACTTTATTCCAAGACCTGGTTTTCTTCATCTGCTTGGGATGATCTGTATATGTAATAAGTACATTTATTTATTTATAAGACAAGGAAGTTTTGTTTTATTTTTCTAATGTATTAGGTAGCAAGGGAGAAAGCAGTGAAAACAGATGACTTCTTGTCATTTGCCTAAGGAAATAATGGATGGGGGTGGTATTGTATTTTCAGTGTAGCATTTGGATATATCGCCATAGTTCTCGAAAATCTTGCCTGAGTTTTTGGGAAATAGCATTTTTGTTGATGGCTTTTAACTGGAGGCCTTTTCCTCTTTTATGGGCACCCGAAAAAAGAACTAGTAGCACACCATGAGAGTATACACTGACAATGTAGCCCAGTGGTTCCTAACCTCATTGTGTATCGGAATTACCTAGAAAACTTTGATATACACACATGCACACACAGATTAAGGTGAAGCTCAAACTTGTTCTTTGAAATTCCCAAGTGATTCTAATGTATATCTGGCAAAGCTAAGAATTAGTAACTAGCCGAGGGGATTTCAGGTTTCCCCAAAGCCCCAGCATTCCTAAAAGAGCCCTGGGGGTACCTTAAAAGGAAGCAAGCAGGTGGAGGACAAACTAGGGGCCCTAGGCCTCACTCTCCTCCGCTGCCCCATTCCCCCTTTTGCCTGAACAATTCTGGTTTTTTCCTATATTAAATATTGAGGTTCTAAAAGGAACATGTTTTTTAACCACAGCTCTAGACATATATGTCCTATGTAAGAACGGCAACACAGATTTTAACTCTGGTTTTCAAAAATGGTGAGCACTGAGTTTTCCAACAAAATTCGTGTATTATGTAGCATCTGAGGAATGTAGAAAAAGAAAGGTAATCCAAGGTAATAGATAACAAGTGTCCAGTGAGCTAGGCTTACTTCAAGTGAGGAAGGGAGGTGACTTGTCCAAGCAGAAATCTCAAACAGGGGCTTTATGCTGGCTACCACAGGATCCAGTTGATTACAATGTCTTTGTTTTGGCCACATGATATCTTTTAAAATTTAGACAGGCACTGTTCTCGAGTTTACCCCAGTCTACGACATTCCACATGGTTTATACTTGACTTGCTCATTCGTTTGCTTATTATGAAGGCTCTGAAAACTTTGGTGTTTCTAGACCGTAGAAAATAATTTGTTTATCAGTTTGCTACTTGCAGTGATATTTCATTTGATCAACTTTGGAGGTTGAGGTAGGAAGGATCACAAGTTCAAAACCAGCTTGATGGGGTTGGGGTTGTGGCTTAGCGGTAGAGCACTCGCCTAGCATATGCAAGGCACTGGGTTCAATCCTCAGCACCACATTAAATAAATAAACAAACAAGCAAATAAATAAATGGTATTAAAAAAAAAAAAAAACAGCCTCAGCAATGTAGTAAGACCCTGTATCAAAATAAAAATTAGAAGGACTGAGGATGTAGCTCAGTGGTGAAGTATCCCTGGGTTCAGTCCCCGGTCAGAACAACAGCAATTGTCTGCACTTGGCTGTATTATAAGATCTTGTAACCTCTTGTCTGCTTCTTTAGAAAAATGTTTTAAGTTACAGATCTTTAGCACCCCTTGGAAGTCTATCTTTTATTTCCCCACCTCAGGAAAAAAATAAAAAGAAAGAAGAAGTATGGCTTTTATTTAAGAGAATAATTTATTTGGTATTAAAATGTCATACAAAGTTTTTGCCAAGTATTTATTATAAGAACTGTATTAAATCTGTTTCTAGAAAGCCAAGATGGTACTTTTACTTTGTCTCTTGGTTGGCTAGATTTTATTCCTTTTTTTTTTTAATCTAGGTCAGATCAAATCTAATTAAAATTGTTCTTCTGCTTTATCTTTTATTATTTAAACACTCATTGCCCTCTGTGGTCTCACTAATGGACTAATTTCCTGAGATTATAAATTGGCATGCTTTCATTTCCAGATTGCAGCCTCTCTGTCATCATTTTTCCAGTTTTTTTTTTTTTTTGACGTTTGTTTTATGCTGTATCACAAATGGATTTCCTCATTTCACCTTCTATGAAGTCATATGTACCCTTATAATTAATGAATAAACTGTGCATCCAAGGATATTTATCCAACGGCACCAATCAAATTTTATATTTTTCAAAAGCAACCATGCCTTTAAAATAAGAGTTGGCAAGTCAAGTTTGGTTGTTCTTTTTTTTTTTTTTTTAAACAATGACTATAGCCCATTTCCCAATTAGTTGAAGTCAGTTTTTTTTTTAATTACTACAGCAATTCTGTACCATAAAGTTACTACCAAAATTATTGCCAATTTTTTTGGCTATTATACTCTTTCTTATTATAACTTAAAACTTGGACCAGAAAAGTATAGAAAGAGCATAGTTTTAAAACATACAGCATAACTTTTTTTTCTTTTTGTAGCATTAATCTTATCACTGGTCATTTAGAGGAACCAATGCCAAACCCCATAGATGAAATGACAGAAGAACAAAAAGAATATGAAGCCATGAAACTTGTCAACATGCTTGATAAACTTTCCAGGTATTGTATTCCCATCCATTTTTTGCTTGGTTTCTAAAAATGTTCTATTTCTTTGTCTCTCTCACTGAGAGTTACCATAGAACAGCAACTCTGGAAATCCATGCTGATTGAAACAGGGTGGCCCATGCAGCAGTAGTTCAGACACCTCTTGGCTACCATGGTTTTTCTACATGTGCCGCTTCTGGATGTGCATTTCTTAAAACATAAGCTAAGATAGTAACTATTAGATCACTGTAATATTTAACCAACTAACCTCCCTGTCTTCAAAAAGATGCTATGAGTTAGGTTCAATGATTTTGCTGCTTCTTGTATTTTTGTTTCAGCCTGTTTTTGTTTTTGTTCCAAATCATTATGCGCTTTTCTTTCCCTTTCATTTTTGATGTGTGAATTTGCAATTCTGCTTTTTTGGGTTGCTGCTAAAACCAAGAATTCTGAAATATAATGCATCCAATAGGAAAAAGTGAAAAGAAATAGCTCAAATGAAGGATTTTCTGAAAGCAGGCACTTGTATTAATTAGAGGTTCTAAAAACAATCTGCCCTTCCCCTCTTGCTTCATGTCTCCTTGCCTTCCAAAAAATAACCAGTTTTGAAAATAATTAAACCACATATATACTAATCAGCAACGAGTCATCTTGGAGGAGTTATTTGGAAAAAAAAAAATCCTTTCATACTTGGCTGAATTGCTCTAATTTTCCAGTCATACATTGAGTCACTGTCTCCTTAAGCCATCTTGAGTGAGTGCTTCTGTGTGTTGGTGGCATCTACCATTTTCAGGTGAATTTCTTCTGGTCATCTCCTCTTTCATAGTAGCTATGTGCAGGGGGCGGGGGGTGTGAAAAAAAGAGCTAGTATCCCTCAATCAAGAGAAAAAGCAAGTTGAATGTGAAGCCAAACTGGGAAAAGGAAAGGTCTAACAAAGAAACAAACATAGGTGAAGGGTAGAGCAGGAGGCTTAGAGTAGAAATAGGCAAGAACAAGAGACTGATGTAGGAAGGATGACAAGTATGGGTATTTTGACACTGCACTCTGAGCTTTTAAATGATGCAATAATGTGGTAGAAGTTGTTTAGAAATAAGTAACTTCATTATCTACAAAGTGTAACTACAACTCAAGGACTGTCAGCTTACTGCTTTTAAATATCTATCCATTCCTAAGAAGGTTAAAGCTTACAGGTAACTGTGCTCACAACCTTCAAAAGACATTTTTAACTGTTTGCAATTATATTCTCATACCTTTGTATGGAATAGACATTTTCTTTTCCTGAAGGAATTAATAGTCACAGAGAAGATATTGATAGGGCAAACCTATTTAAGGCAGAATAAGAAGTTCTAAATGAATATATAAAAATAAGATACAGTAGCTGAGGATGTAGCTCAGGGGTAGAGCACATGCTTGGCATGTACAAGGCCCTGGGTTTAATCCCCAGCACCATTTTTTTAAAATTTATTTATACAAAAATAAGATATGAATGCCCTTGGCTGCTTCCAGAAGAGTCTGATGTAAGTAATGAAACTTGGGTAGAAGTAGAAGTTAGGAGGAGACCCAACATAGCCCATGTAGTGGAAGCTAGAAGGGGAATTGTTAACAGAGACCTAAGTGGAGTATTATTAGTGTTTTAGGACAGTGAAGCAGTTAAATATTTCATATTCTGACCAACAATATGAATTTTTAGAAGTTAGCATAGGTGCTCTTCAACTGGCCCATCTACCTTGAATGAATAAAATCCAAGCTAGGAAAAGTAGACGATGGGGGAAAAACTGCCTAGGATAATGCAATATAATCTGGAAACTTGGCTTATCAGTAGATACACTACCAATTTCATAAGGCATCCTAATTACAGGCACAGAAAACAAAGGTGCTAAGTCCTTCTTTTAATCTCAGTGGAATCACATATTCTAGAAGCTACCAATAAGTAAATACACCAACATTAAGTCTGAAGTACTCAACATCCATCTAATTTAAACTATGCCTTAAAGAAGATGCACACTCACCAGCAGGCACCCAGGGATGCCCAACTCAATTTGAAGATGGTACTGATTTTTGCATGAAAAAGCAAAGCAAATATGTTTTGTGTAGGCTTTGATGGTACTATTTTTGCCATTAAAGTTGAAGCAAACAGCAACCTTGAATAGTCCTAAATCATGTACACTTTTTGCATGATATGTAGTGGGTTTTTACATTGTCTGCCTTTGTGTGCTTTCTAACATTTGCTCCTACTAATAATAGTGAATGACAAAACTCTATGAAGATAAGTAGTGGGCATTCCAAAGCAGGAATGCAAAGAATGTAACCATTCTTTATGCGTCTTACACGTTTGTTGTGCTGTATTCTTCATTAGTCTTAAGTTTCTTCTCTCTTTTCACCTTTTTTTTTTTTTTTTTTTTTTTTAGGTTTAAAAAAAGTCATTAAGCCAAACTAGACTAAATTCAGTACAATTCAGGGAACATTTACTAAACAGATACTCTGTGCTACACTGTGCTAGGACCTAGCCAAGGGAGATGCAGAGGTAAATGGGACAGTCTCTGTCTTTAGAAAACTCATATCTTAACAGAGTGTGATCTATTCTAGAATACAAAGTAGAAGAAAATAATGACAAAATGAGGTCTGTGTTAAACTTAAGCACCCAGGAAAAGGAGCAGTTCATTCTGTTTGGATGATTTAGGTTGTGTTTCACAAGGAAGGTAGTAGCATTTGTGCTGATAATTGAAGTTTAAGAGAGATTTAATGGAAAAATGACTATTCATTGCAGGTAAAGAAAAATTTAATCTCATTAGTAAGATAAGTCTTTGGTATTTGTATTTTTATCTTTCTTCCAAAGAGCTCAGGTTATTTTATCATGATTTGATTAATACAGAATATTACCAGATTTAACATTGGGGAAAGCAAGGACCAAAGAATTGACCAAAATATTTCCAAGCTATTGACTGATGATGATCCATTTCCTTTTGACGGTTTACAAAAACACTTTCACATACATCTTTCTAGCTTCATGATAAAGTGAGCCTAGGAACTTCATTTTCCAGAACTCAAGATCTTTGCTCTGTCCACTGTGTTACTGTGTCTGTCTGTTACAGGAAGTGTTTGCCAGAATACTTCCTAATCACTCTCTCAGCATTGTACTATTGGTTAGTTCCCTCAGCTGTCACTCTAGGAAGTTCTGCATTCAACCAAGCCTTTATTGTGCTAAAAGTGTACTTCGCCTTTGTCTAATTAACTTCCTTTCTCAAAATGAAATCATTTTCTCCTGCACCTGAATTGAAAGGCATGTGAGTAAAGGATAGGGTTGGAGGTGACGTGGCCAAGGAATGGACACTACACACTTCCTTTTTTCCATCCATAGGAGAGCAGATGTGAAGGACCTGCACCAGGATGGTGGTTAGCAACAATGGCCCGTGCCAAAGCACTTACCAAAGGTTGGTCATGCCAAGTACTGTTACTGAGCCTGGTGTAGGGTAGATGTTATTCACTATTAAAAAGTGTAAAACCACCAATGTAAAGCCTAAAACTACATTTTAATTTTTCCCCCATGCTGGACTTAGCCACTGTCTCAAGGAGCTCACCACCTGCTAAGCTTTATCTCAGCTAGACTTCCAAAGACAGTGGAGAGATTAGTGCTCATATATTTTCTTTTCATTAAATGCCAAATGATTTAGTAGTATTTTAAGTGATTTTGTATTTCTTTAGTATAAGGATTATCTCTGTAACAGATGTTTATATAAACCCTTGTATAGGAATTGGCAGTATACCTGGAGGTCTTCAGAGTTGGAGAATCACCTGAACCCTATTATTTCCTTCATATCTAGCTATAATATAGTGCCTTGAACCTTTGGTTTCTCCAGTACATGATGATGAAATGATGAAACAGGTGGTCCCCAAATATGAAGGTCAGGTTTCTTGCTCTATAAAATAGCCTACATGGTTTAAGACTTTGAAGCTCATTTTGTCAGTTCCATTTCTTATCCAGACTTGATAAAAGTCAAGGCAGAAAGAGAATTCTACAAAGCACTGTAGACCATGACTAGGCAGTTTAAATATTTAGTGCATAATTTCTTTACCATGGAATGATAATTAAAATGTTTATCAAATATAAGAATTAAAGCCTACAGGTAGCATATGCCTGTAATCCCAGCAGCTTGGGAGGCTGATGCAGGAGGATCACATGTTCAAGGCCAGCCTCAGCAACTTGGCAAGACCCTGTCTCAAATTAAAAAATAAAAAGAACTGGGGATGTAGCTCAATGGTAAAAGCCCTACTAGAGATGAGAATGTTGATTGTGTGAAAACAAGCCCAGTGTGCCTGAGAGCATTGCATCTGCTTGGATGCACCAGGCTCCTCACATGTGATGATGCCTGCTCCAGAAAAGGGCAGAGAACATCCATTAAGTTTAAATTAACCAAGGGAATGATATTCCAAGTAACAGTTTTGTTTTGAATTTTTAAATCCTTAATTGATGCCAGAATTGATTAATCCTCCACTCCACCCTCCCTCTATCACTGTTTAACAAGGTACATTGCCTGTTTGCTTTTATGTTCTACCATTAAAATCTGTTTTAAAACTTATATGTATATAAATAAATTATTGTCCTATCATTTCTTCTTTTTCCCATCCACTCACTTAGCCAAAAATTTGTAGTTTTTCAAAAAATTTTATTATTTTGCCAGCCATAATGATATTTGGATGTGGCTTTCTTAATAAATGCAAGTGCCAAATATTTAAAAATTCCTTTATTTCAAAGGTCATTTTTAAAACTACTAAGGCTGAGAGTAATTTAGGACTGAAATTTAACAGCTATGTAGTTTTTCCTTAAAAAGTATTTTATTCTTCTTAACTAAATATCAACAACTATGATTACATCTATCTTGTAATGAGTTAGTCAAGAAAATGTTTTTTAGATACATTTCAGAAACATGATCCAATTCTTAAAGCACTGTAAAAACTGTTGTAGGTATTAATATATAAAGATTTAATTGGTTCCATCAGAATATCCTTCAAATCTGCACTCTCCAGTACGGTAACCATTAGCCTTACATGACTGTTGAGCACTTGAAATGTGGTTAGTCCAAATTGGGATGACCTCTAAATGTAAAATACTCACTGAGTTTCAAAGACTTAATAATAATAAAAAAACAAAGAATGTTAAATATCTTACTAATTGTTTAATATGGATTACCTATCAAAATGATATTTTTTATCTACTGAGTTAAGTAAAATACATTAAACAGCAAATTTTAACTATTTTTTTTCAATGTGGCTACTAGAATATCAATATTACATATATAGCTTACATTGTCTTGCATTTTATTTTTATTAGCATTGCTCTCCATCATTAAAATGTACTGTAAGGTTGCTTGGAAATTCAATTACTGGGACTTGGATCCAGTTAAATTAATAATATACAGGGGCAAGGGAGGATTAATTTGAGAAACTCGGTAGTTCTATCATTAGGTTATAGAGGACCTTTCCAGTGGTAAGATACCCGAGTAGGGGGCCATAATCCCTGTGGTATGAGGTAGCCTCCATATTCCCTCTAGGTAGTCAGTGTCGATCTGTAACAGGAATGACTGCTTGGAGTTCTTGGTTAAAGCACTAGCTGAAATGGCTTTTGACCCTTAGAAAAGGGTAAAATAAGAAGAGTCTCTACTGGCTGTTTATAAGTTAAGGTTTTTTTTAACTTTTAAGCATTCCTAATTGGGAAGAGCATAAAAAGGACTTCTTTTTTTCCCAACAGTGTCAGTTAGCATGCTGACTGCTTCATGTTTATTTTGTCAATTTGGACTATAGGGTAGAAAAGTTCTGAGTAGATCACCAAGAAATAATAAAGAACACCATCACCTAAGGATAAAACTGAATTTTATTCTTCTAGCACTGTTCCTAAAATCTTTCTCTGTATTTTCTTAACCATGCTGTTTAATATGAGGTGGGCAGCAAATTTTTAGAAGCTTTGCATGTAATCTTCTAACAGAAATGAGAGCAATAATAAAACACTAATATTTACATAGTGCTTAACTGTAAAAAGTGCTTCCATATATATTATCTCCATTGATCATTAAAATAGAGTATTTTATTAAGAGGTATTTTATTAAGAAGTAAATGTATCCAAGATTAAATAAATGAACCCAGATCAGGTATCTAGTTAAGGACGCCTACCAGGACTTGGTTCTCGGTCTTCAGACTCCAGATATTATACTGTTTTGCAAACTTACCAACAGCTCTCAAAAGATTGTCAGTCTGATTATTTTTAAATAAAACTTCTAAATTTTAAACAAATGTGGAGCACAAAAGACCAATAGTAAGCACAAATGTCTACCTTGGAAGAATATTAAGATGTGGAAAACACAAGCATCATGCAAGCTGCTTTTCATCCCATAGCTGAGCTCTTATCAAAGATTAGATTATGTGCCCAAGAAATACTTTATATTATATGAGGGAAACCATAACATTTCTGATTCTGTTAATACAAGGTTTGGTTTTTTTATTATTTTAAAGAGAAAAACTAATAATGAGTATTCTAACATTCTTACATGTTATTACACTAATAAAATCTAACTTTTAGACATCCCAATTACCTTTACAAAGTCAATTGACATGGTGATATGAGCAGTATACCATATCTAGTTGTCTTGGGAATAATATTTTACTTTCCCAGCAGTACCTAATCTCAAAGCATGATGGTGAGAGATAAGGAGAGACACTCAGAATCATTTATGAAAGATGCAGCCTGAAGACCTCATATTTGCTATAGAAGAGCCACCATACCCTCCTTCCTACTGTGTTAAAAACTTAGTGAAAGATCATAGAACTGGTCAGCACTCAGAAGCCACTAGATGAAAGAGGGTCAGGGTCCAAGCCCAAAGGATACTTTCACAGTATCCAATTGAGCATGATAATCAGTCTCAAAGGTTATATAATTCCTGTGAGAAAAAGGGGTTAAAAACACCTATACTAAGTCACAGCTTATTGAAAATCCATTGCACTGCAGTGGATTATAAGCAGTGTCCTAGACTTGGAATTATAACTAAGACTATTAGAGCTGCTTTCTCCAGACCTCACATGCTCCATTCTAGCAGACATTCTTAGAAGAGCTCTGTGTTAATGAAAATGCTTATTTATATACTAGTTTTTCATCCCATCTTTCAAATGTGAAAAGGAATTAAATATGAAATGCCTAATTTAAAATGTCAGGGTCCTTTTTTCCAAGCCAACCTTACATTAAGAGCAGGAATCCCTGAGCCAAATAAATGGTTCCCAATTATCTTGTCTTGGGTTTTGTTATATATTGTTCAGAAGTCAACAAAACAAGTATGTAACAGAACCTGCCTAAATAGCAGCCACCCTCATTAAAAACGGAGAATTAATCAGGGGTGATTGAAGGAAGCAATGCCTCATAGATTCCCCCTACACACACACTTTTCTTCTTTTCTAATCATAGAACAAAATATGTTACATAAAAGGATCGGAACGATTATTCAGTACTCAATTAGAGGGAGGTGAATAGGTCTCTAACATGCTGTTTTATCAAAAGAGCAGACTGGTGTTTGCATGACTGTTGTTTCATTACAGACCCTGTCATTAATTCCATGTGTCAATACTGCCCTGTAGTACACAGAGCAGACAAGAAAGAAGAGCCCTTGAAAACAAGGGAATGATTTTTGAGTCGTTATCAAGCTAAGTGGCAAGCGGGAAGCTGAAACTCGTATAGGTAAATTCGAAGGGACTCTTGGGAGATCTGCAAGTGGGAAACAAGAATGCATTTTACCAACTGCTTAATTATGTCCTGTTTTTCAGCAAGTACACTTGAATTGAATGCTTTGTTTGTATTGCACAAAAACGTGCCGAGGGCAAGAGTATTCTCTTGCTTCCAGGTCAAGTAAGGTGTTCTATACACACACACATCTGACCTATTCTGTAATGTGCAATTGGGTATGTTAGTATCTGAGCCCCAATTCTGCACTCTCATTTCTGGGGGAAAGAGTCACATAGGAACCAGAGCCCTAAAAAGTGGGACCTTCTCTAAGGTCCTGAGAAGTCATGAAAGCCCAGGCATTCCAGAGTGCCATACCTACAGGAAAATGGTGGCTCAGGAAACTGTTAACATATATCTGGGGAAAAAAAACAGCCAGAGAATTTTAAGTATGTGTAAATCCCATCATCTCCCACCCCTAGATCATTAAGACATTTTTTTTGGTTTCCATTAGCAGTTCCAAGGGTTAGGCTGGGGCAAAATAGGGTTTCCTTTTTTGGACGTGCTTTACCTGTGTCCTCATGCCTGGCCAAGCCCTTATAGATTATGGTTCCTTATCGTTTAGTAAGATCAAATTTCTAAATGATGTTTCGTTCCAGTTGAACATTCTTGGAGGCTTATCTCTTCCCTGGCCAGATGCCTGATCAGATGAGAAGCCCGCCATGATACTGTCACAGTGCCTAGAATGGGCTCTTTATCCAGTAGACATCACTGTACTTTTTGATGATAACGAGGGCAGTCTTAACTTATGTTAAGGCCTGTGTATAGCATTGAAGGTAAGTATGAAGGAGTTGTTGCTATGTGAATATCTTAATCCTGATACACATTTCAATATACAGTATCTCCATTTTATAATGATAAAACGGAGATACTGTATATGTATTTATACTGTGTGTGTGTATATATATAGATATATCTATATATATCTATATATATACCTGACACCTAGCCATCCTTTTTAGATAGGACTTTCAGGACCAGTAACTCTTCATGAAATGGCCTGTTTATTGAGGGCCATGATGGAATTTGGATCCTTCTGTGTAATACATGCCATTGCTTTGATTTGCCTATATAATCATTTTAACCATCTGCTGGTAGATTGCAGAAAGGGTTTGTGGTCTTGGTGTATGCCAGTGACAGGTAGGTAGGATGTTGTGTTTCATTCTTAGGTCTAGACTCTCTTGACTAGAAACAAAGGCTTAGAGTAATGACTTGGAGTGTCTTTAAATTTAGCAGTTTTTCAAATAGATCAAAATTACTTAGTAACCTTATCTTAGACTCTTGAACTTAGTATATAATTTTGGGGATCATCTTGTCCAACCCCTCATTTTATAGATAGGGAGACTCAAGCCTGGAAAGGCAAATGACATGCCCAAGGACACAGAAAAAAGTTAGTAAAAGATCTGAGACTAGAATCTAGAGATCTCTTGACCCATACACAAGAAGCCGAGTCTAACCCAGTTTATTGTTGGTAATTCTAGGCTGTATAGAAACGGGGTCTGACTTCTGGGCCGTCAGAATATCTGATGACCTTGACTCATCAAGGAAATAATTACAGTTAAAATAATATCAGAATGATTTCTGACAAATGGTTCTCTACTATTCTCCCTTTATGTCTTGACCCATGTACTGTAGTCTCTCAGTAAACATTTACTGAGCACCTACTATGTCCTGTTTTTATACTAGGTACTGGCAGATTATAGCCAGATAAGACATGGACTCTGCCCTCAAGTTGCCCACAGTCTAGTGAGAACAAGAAATCCCTGGAAAGCATAATTCAGAATTTCCTATGGAATATGAACACCTCTCCAAACTCTGTTACTCTTGATGAAAGTGAATCTTTTACCTACAAATTTAGCTTACCTCTTGTTCATGGTTTAGTTATTAGGAGTCCTATAAGACACATGCCTTTTCTTTTTATGAAAATGCAAGATGATATCAAGTGCAACAAAAGTGTAGATCATAGACCTTATTGAAGCTCTACTCTCTGCAAGGCACTGTGCTAGACACGTAGGGATATGGGAAATGAATAATTAGAGCAAATATATTTTTAATATATTAGAACAGTATTGTTTCATAGCTTTCAAACTTTATAATGACAGTTATTTTTCAAAAATACCTTCATACTCAAATCCAGACTTGTCAGCCTAAGATTCAGGTCTCCATTCAGATCCTCTTTCATACCCCATATCTCTTGTGAGCTTTCTTTTTCCTTTTCCTCTGCTAAACCTGCCTGCTTGGCAATCCCTGCACACAACTAACTCTTGCTTCTGTGCCTCGCCTGACTAATCCTTCTGCTTTGGGGATGCTTTTCTTCCCATGAATCCATGTCCATCGCTGCCATTATAGCCTGACCCTGAGTCCACCTCCTGCAAGGAGCCTGTAGTCAGTGTCTCTGTCTCCTTCTATGTCCCTCAGACATGCATAGCCTATATGACTGGTGGAGGAACATTTCTGTGGTATGCATTAAAGCTTCCCATTCTTTGTCCACATCTTTCTGATTAGATACACCAGAAAATAAATGAAAAGCAGTCTAATATAAACATGTTTTTGCCAAGCCTTTTAGGAGTGATTCTATAACAAAGATTTCATTTTGGTGTTTGTGGGCTATAGTTATAGACTAGAAAGATCAGAAAATTAGGATGGGAGATTGAGAAACTTGGGTTCATGGAACAGTCTCATGTCTATAAATGATCATTTCCTACTCCTACTCAGGACAAAAAAAAATTCCTTTAAGCAAAGTACAAATACAATGAGGGTGGATCCATGACTGTCACACTCAGGGAAAGCAGGGCTCTGCTTGTCAACCATCTTAAGCTTATTGATCTGCTGTTCTGTAATTCTTTGAATATTGTTTAATGTGTGTGTGTTTTATCTTCTGAACTGACTAAAAGCTTCTTGAGGACAGGGACCATGTCTTTTTTTTCTGGTTGTTTGTTTTTTGTTTTTTTTTTGTTTTGTTTTGTTTTGTTTTTCTGTTTTTGCTTTTGCATATTCTTCCCCAACTTATTCCTGACTGGCATAGGGAAAACCTGGAAGCATATAGGAACAGGAATGCAACTTGTGAGTTCCAACTACATCTATCCATTACACTTCCATACTTGATACTATAATAGTCTTTGCCCTCATGACAACTTAAGGAGGTGGGTATTCCTATCCTAATTCTACAGATATGGAAATTGAAGTTCAGAAAGTTCAAGGTCTTATGGTTAGTGAGTGTTGGATCCAGAATTAGAACTCAGATCCCTCTCCAAAACCTGTATGTATTTTTTATTACATCACAATCATGGTAAATGTTTGAGAACTCCTTAATTTACATTATTATTGCTATCGTTACTGCCACTATTATTACTAATATTATAATTATTCCTTACATCATTACTAGGAAGTAGGTAGTGCTAGTATTATCATGACCCCCCCATTTCACAGATGGGGAAACAGACCCAGAGACATGCCCGAGATCACACAGCTGGTAAGTGGAAGAATCAGGACTTTATACAGACCTCCTGACTCCACGACCTGTTGTTCTTTCCACAAGGTCGAGTTGCTGCCTTAACTCATTTGCATGAATACATGATGATGTGGCAGTGCTCACTAATGCCTTCCTGCAGAAAGGCCAGTACACCTGAGTCATGCAAAAGAGAAAAGAAAAATAACTCATACCTTCTGAGGAGCTTCCATTTCCATGGAGGGCTGATACAAAACACCAAAAATATAAACACTTAAATAGTTCACAAGTGAGAACTAGAATACAGGGCACTTTGTTCTATGAATGAATTCCCATAACTTGGCAAAAAAACTATGTGATATTTTTCCATCGTAAAGTAGGATTAGGAAATAGGGATGAAGCTTACAGACATGATTTGAAATGTTTCCCCTGGGTTTAGATGAGAAAGTGCTAAAGACGCTTATACAAGTTGGTAGCTGTCCTCAGAATCTTCCTGTTATCAAAGAGGTGCAGTAGTATTCGTCCAAGGGATGATGATATGTCTACCCAGCATATCATCCTTGGTAGATGATATCCTGTCCTTGGTAGAATCCCTCTAGTCCCATCTGCCAGGCCTACTTCTATCTCTCCCTACCCTGCTGCCCCTACCCCCACCTCCCTGCCCTCAGTTCACCAAGCCCTATAGGCCTTTGAACTTCCTCATTCTTCAGTCTCCATTCCTGGCAAGTTGTCCCCCTTCTCCTTTTGCCTCAGTTGTTTGTATGTAGTGTACAGTACCACAGTTCTTCAGCACAGTCACTCAGAACTAGGAAGATATATACTGTAAATTATAACTATATAATTTTTGCATGCTAGAGACAAGTTTTAAAGTAAACAGATGGTTTCTAACTCTCCACCAGACATTTCTACCTGGTTGTCAAACGGGCAACTCAAGCTCTTTGCATACTGAAAGATAGCAGTGTCCCCCACCAAATCTGCTCTGTTTCCCTTCTTCTGCTCCAGTAGATAATATCACATCCACTTGGCCATCCACCCCACAGCTAAGGGACTCTACTCCTTGCCTTCACCAACCCTTTCCCCTCTGTGGGTCATTAGATCTCCCTCAGCAGTGTTGCCTTCTGTTCCCACAACCTCAGCCATACCCCAGCTCTGTCTCCTCTCCCACACAGCTGTTAGAGTAACCTCCTAAGGACTTGTCTCTCTGCCACCTCTTCCAGTGTGGTCTCCCACACTGCTGCCAGAGGAAGCAAAACTGATCGGATACTCTTTACAGGATGAAGTCTAAGCTCCTTACCTGGGCATTTAAGACATTTGACTATTGGGTGGCAGATGACCTTTGCATCTGCCCCTCCTGCTGCCCCTTCACTGAGCCCCTTCACTCTCCAAACACCAGGCCCTTTTCCAGCTTTGTTAGAGTACAGTGATAGAAAAGATGAACTGGCACAATCAGAAGAGGTCTACAAAAGCACCACAAGGTGATGGGACCACATGTGGTGCTTTTGTAGACCTCTTGTAGGCTCCTGACATGGTCTCCTTGTCCTGAAACGTGTACCCTTTGCCTAGCACAGGACCCCTTGGTGGCACCTTTCCCCACCTCCCCCAGGCATTTGGTTGGTGCTTCATCTCAGGAGCTGCCACAGTTCTTTGTTCATAATTCTCTCATAGCATCTCCCCCATTACGTTCCAAGTTATTTTCCATATATTTATTTTACTTGCTCATCAAAGGCAGCAGCTGTCCCCAGTCTTCCTTTTCTTCCCCAGTATGTGACATAGTTCCTGTCGCATAGTTATTGAACAGATGCTGAACAAATGCACTCAGGGTGTGCTCCGCCAGAGCAGTTAGGCACTTAGTCAGATGTGTTGTGCTGCAAAGAGCACTGGACTGGGATCCAGAAACCCATGTCCCAGGTCCAACTCTGCCACTAGATAAGTGACCTTGGGTAAGTCACTCAGTCTCCTCTATTAAAGAAAGGGGTTGGACTAAATGATCTCTGTGGCCCCTTCCAACTTTAAGCTCTGTGATTTTCACTCCATTTCTTGGATCAGGAAACACTGCCTACTTTATAATATTCGGAAGCTTCACTGTAGCCAGCCAGCGGGCCACCACATTTCCCAAACAGATTTTTTCAGACTCTCAGAAATAGTCTTTCATGCAGGCCAGAGCTTCTCCAGGAGGCTGCTCTTGGCCTTACCGGCAATCACTGAGCTTTCTCACCCCTCCCCAGGTTTTGGGTGCCATCACTCAGTCGTGTGGCTACCCTTTCCCAGGAGGGAGCCCCTCTTTGTGCTGGCCTAAGGGAGGCAGGGGGAGAGGAAGTGTTCCCCTTCACTGCATGTCCCACCAGTATCACAGCTGCTGCCATCATGTTTTGGGGAAGCAATGCCCATTTCTGTGAGAAACAAGTTTTAAGCAGCTCACGGCCCTTTTAAGTATACTGCTGACCTTTTGAGGATGGGAGGAGGACTGGAGTTAGCAACTCCACAGGTACATTTGCCATAATCTCTGTGTAATAAATAAGAGTCTATGAAAAGATGAAATAAATCTTTCCTGATGCTTTTTGATTGGTTTAATCAATAATTAATCATCTTCAGATGAGGCTGTAGCTTGTGGAGTAGATATAATTGGATTAGCTGAAAAGAGGCAGTTGGGAAGCTTTGAAGAGATTAAAATGGCTGTCAGTCCCATAATTAAACTGCCACAAACAAAAGCAATGGTGTTTTAAACAAGAAGAAGGGAAAGAACAAGCAACAGACAGAAAAGGGAAGAAAAATGGGGAAGAAAATCAGGGAAGGCCAACTGATTTGAAATGAATCAACAAGTATTTATGTATCACTAAAGACTGAAGGCAAAATCTAATCTGACAGATTGATTCCATTGAATGAAATGCATACATACCAAATCAGCCATTTAATTATAGGCCTGGGGCAGGTGAAGTTTCACAGCTTTAGCTTCACTAAAACAAAACAAATCCACAAAAGGGGGAGGAAAAGTTACTTATTGAAAACAGAAGAGACCTGCTCCTTGTCCTGAGCCCATTTAGACCTTGACTTTTCATACTTTTAATTGGCTTAGTAGGTTTGGCCTGTGTGAATGAAGTCTTTTATCTCTTTTTCTTTCCATGCCCCTTTCATCTTTCCTATTACAAACACACAGAGAGAGCTTGAGAGAAAATACTTTGGTTTTTAAAGACTTTTCTTTTAAAAAGGATGTGGATTTGGGTGGGGGGAGGGGCGTGTGTGTGATGCTGGTGAATACTTTTTTTTCTCTCTTTTATCTCTTTTTCCAGAGAGGAGTTGCTTAAACCAATGGGACTAAAACCTGATGGGACAATAACGCCTTTGGAGGAAGCACTCAACCAGTACTCTGTCCTGGAAGAGACCAGCTCCGACACAGACTGAAAGCATCACCTGCTCAGCTCCCAGTATTGCTTTTATCAGCATCTTTTCTCTGTAGCTCCAGGGGAATCTTTTCTCTAAAACATTTATGCCCTTGCTTTGGCTAGAAACACATTAACTGGTTTACTCATTGAGAATCCAGCATATTTAAGAGGTGATCCTGTGTTTTTTGCGATATCGAGGCATTCATACAGAGCTGCAGTGAGGCAGAGTCACAGGGACTAGAAGCAGAAAAACAGTAATTCCATTTCATCAGATGGAACGAAGAACTTCATTCTGTAAAGCAGCCCTGGCCGAATCTGGCCATTCTGTTTTCCAAGATTCTTGACTGAAGATTTAGCCAGGTCCTTCCTCTCACTTGGGTGAGCGGCCCCTTCTGAGTCTCTCGAGCAGCCAGAGGCACATGAGAGCAGAATGAGCTAGTAAATAAGGACTGAGGCAAGTGACTCCTTAGGTCAATACTGACTAAATGGAAGCCAAGCAGCTGCTCTGTAAACCTAGCCCCACTCTTCAATTTTATATACATGTAGAAGCACACACACAAACACACACACACACAGGCCCCAGACTTACAAACTGACTACACCAGAAGTTTGTATGTCTTAGCTAAAATTTCAGAATACATTTCTCCCTGACAGGAGTTATGAATGATGGTTTAGTTCCCAGGCAGCTACAGATGCCTATTTATTCCCTAATGTACCTGAACACTAGTACTGCAGAACTGAACCAGGGTATGTACTGTGGCGGGGGAAGCGTGCGTTCTGAGGTCTGACTCGGAATGCCAGGAACATACACACCCTCCATCCCAATGAGAGAGTGAGGACTCCCTGAGTAGTGGGAACTATTTTGTGGCCTCTTCTAGTAGGAGAGTCAAAGGCACCCATTTGTACATAAAGGTCATTCATACATCATGTTTTAAATTGGGGTCAGTGTATATGCTTGTGTGTGTGTATTCTATCTTTCTACTATACGTGATCGGCTTAATGGTAACTTTATTTATTTAAAAAAAAAAGGAAAGAAACACAAATAGTTACCATTAAACTGATTAAGGCTGTTTATTTTTACTGTTAGAATTGGTCATATGAAGATGTAGAGACGCCGTCATGCCATAGACAGTGGGCCTAGCTAATCAGTGGCTAAAGTTGGAAAGGGGTTGGTTTCCTTTGATATGTATGTATGTATGTGTGTGGATGCACATGCATATATACATATGTATACACACACATAGATAATGTGCTTAACCACTGCCTTTTAAAACTTTAAATTAAATAAAACATTGGGGTTGATTGAATTTAGCCATCTGTGTGTGTTTCTTTATGGCTACATGGGCTAAGCAACACTATTTCATAGTTAATCCTTTTTAAAAATGCTTTTCCAACCATTATCTTAACTTCTCATCATAATAGTCTTTGTAAGGACAGGTAAAGTATTTGGGGTATTAGCAAAAATGTCATTTATCCAGAAGTTAACTTCTCTGGCAAAAAAAAAAAGTCAGGAATTGAGTCTTAAAAGGCCTTGGAGCTGCCAGACAGATGTCACAGATTTCTTGCAACTACTTCTAGAGGAGATCCTCAAGATTTCACTCTTAGCCTTTTTACTAAAATTTGCATATATCTCTTAACATATTGAGATATCTGCCCCTACACACACTCAAAAAAAGAGGCAAACAAAGAGGCTGCTAGACTGAAGTCAGGCAGACTGAAAGCAGAAAAGACCACCAAAAACACTGTGTTAAGATGGGAAGAAACTAGTCAAGGTGAAGCAAATCAAGACTCTCAATTTGCCATGGGATATTGCCAGCAAATAAATGTTTAATAGTATGGCCCATAAACTCATTCTCTGCCCATGAGTTTCTTTAAAGGAATAAATTAGCCAAAATATTTTATAAAAGACCAAGAAGAATAAAGACATTAAGGAATTTCATCCAAAATAATTGAGGGAGAGATTATGAATGACCTACATTTTAACAACAATAAATAAAATAAAACTTGACAATTCTTAATTTTAGATTAATGAAAAGGGGTTTTTAAAAACTTGATATTTTTGTTATTCTACAAATGTATTTTTTATAATTTCTAAAATCACTTTGGGATGAGTGTCAGCCTGGGGAAGGGCCATCCATCTTGACAGCTCTGCAGAGTGAGCAAGTGAACAGTCTGTTAAGAATCTGTGATTTCCTTTCAGTTTGCATTTCTCATTGCTGGATGTTAAACTTGGATTTTAAAGAGGGAGAATTTTCAGGGGAGAGGATGGAAGTGACCTCACCTTGCACACGGAAAAGAGCTGACACCAGTGGGTGCTGATGGCACGCGAGCTCTCCTGCAGCTTTGCTGTGGCATCCCTAGAGCCTCACAGCAAGCAAGAGTCCAACTGTGGCCACCTGACCCCCAGCACCCTCCTTCCCTGGCACCACTGCACCTGTAGTACACCATTCCTCCCCAGGCTTTGAAGGTGGGGAACAGAGTGGGATGGAGAAGGTGTCTCAGGCCATTTTAAGCAATAGCTGTCTCAGCAGAACTTGAAACATTTTTAAAAATGTTTTAAGCAGGGAGGGGCCTTGGAATGGAAATGTGAGTGGGAAGCTTGCTCAGTTAGGTGAGTACTTGATTTCAAATGAAGACCTGGAAAACTTTAGGGTAAGACAGAGGCCAGGGATGCAGGCCCCTCTACCCACACCCCTCCTGACCTCAGAAGTGGGGTGCTAGAGTATGTTGTGAATAAAGCATTTGAGCTGCTGCTTTGGAAGAACAATTGCCAAATTATTGAAGCCCTTTTGCATGTGTGGTGATCCTGGGTGGTGGGCAGGGCAGATGTTACCCCTTCCTTGGGAATGAGGACATAGGCTTTGCGAGGGACTGAACACCAAGTAGCAGGTCAGTCTTGCCACCTCCCAGACAGGTGTCACTTGCATTCACTTACTTTTTTTCCCTGATCGTAAAAATAATGTCTGTTTTTTGTAGAAAGCTTGGAAAATGCAGAAAGCAATAAAATTAATTTTCCCAAAATGCCACCACCCAGAGAGAATCACTGTTAACATTTCAGTGTATTTCCTTCCTGTATTTTTTCTATGCATATATAATTTATTTTACTACAAGATTGGGATCATGCTATACTTACAGATTTGTATCCTGCTTTCTTTAACATATTGTGAGCATTTTCCCATGTCAATAAATATTCTTCAAAAGTTAATGGCTATATGATATTCCATCATATGAACTGTGGCAAAGTGATTGCCTACCCAGTAGTTTTCCTAAAAAAACATCAAGGCCTAGAGCCCCTGCCCCCAGCCACCAAAAATAAGTTATCTGCTGTCTTCCCACGTGGCAGCGTGAGCCTCGGCAGCACTGCAGAGTCACAGGATCCGGGGATGGCTGGGAGAAGCGGACGATCCACCCCATACCCCCAGGCCTGCAGAAGCCTCAGCAGCACACATGACTGATTATCAAGGTAGCTCCACAGCTTTCAAGAAGAGCCATTTTAAAGGTAGCAAGAGAGCCGGACAACTTAGAAATGTCTGCGTGTTATTTAAAAAAAAAAAAATGATCTTGTTCAGTATGCAGTCCAATTGTTGACATTATAGTTCTTGGAGAAACTTAATTCCAGAAGCAGAGTGAGCGACCAAGGTTCAGGAGCCATGTGTTTTTCTTACAAGAAAAATAAGATGGTGCCTGTCACCATATTGAGTGCGACAAAAGGAACAGTGTGAAAAAGGAACAGATCATGAGAAGTGGGGAGAGACTTATAACAATTGAGAAGCCTCTGGAGGAAAGGCAGAGGTTTCTAGAGAGCACGCTGGAGGGGACAGTACACCACGCCAAGCCCTGCTCCATGAGCCATCAGAGCAGCCCTGGCAGCTGAGGAGTCAGGAGATAGGCAGACGGCACCCACGTCACAGGGCAGGTGCCGAACACACTCCCCTCTACATCTGTGGTGGTGATGTGGCATCCTCAGGAGAACTGAAACATGCCAGTCACTGTGTTCTGTGGTCTAGTTCTCTGACCACCCTCTGCCTAAGAAAAGAACAAAAATATTCTCTGAGACTTCTAGAGTCCAATTTGCGTGTTAATGTGACACAGTGACCATCCTAAGCAGTAGTCTCTAGGTGTATCCACATCTCAAAGACCTCTACCTTTTCTGCATTGAACAAAATCACAGCTGAAACATATTGAGCAATACTGTGATGGACAGTGTGCTGAGCACTTCACATGCACAATCTAATTTATAATTTATAACAATATTATGAGGTAAGCTCTATTTGTAAAAATTCTACTTTTCAGATGAGAAAACTAGAAAAACTATTTGCTTTTAATTTGCTATATGTAGAAATTTCAACTCAAGCCAGACACCAGAGTGCACAAATTGTTTTTGTAATCAGAAGAAAATGCATAGTCCTTTTATTTATTTAAAAGAAGAAAATGTCAGAAGATTTAAACAAGAAAATCAATTAAGAAAATGACTGATAACACATTTCTTCATTTCCTTATGCAGAGGTTTCCATGCTGGAGTTAGTCTCAAAGAGCAGCCCATATTCACCAGCACACTGATCCACATCAGTTTGTTCAGTAAGCATTGATCAGGCATTACCTGTGTGCCAGGTACTGTTCAAGGTGCTTGACCAAACATGGCCAAAGTCCCCATCCCCAGAGTGCCCACAGCATGAGACGTCCATGACTAAAATCTGAAGGAAGAGTCGCAGGATGTCAGGGGGATTGTGGAGTGAATAACAGGAAGTTTCACAGGTGACATTTGAGCCTGAGCATGAGCTTACCATGGGCAAAACTGCTCCTATTGGAAGAACGAGCTCAAACAAGCTCCTAGACAAAAGGTACATGATGCGTCCAGACTCAAGGAGCAGAGTATGACACGTGAGCAGCAGTACTTCAGGAAAGGGACATGGGAAGATCACTGTGGCCACAGGATAGAGAACAGATTGGAGAAAGGACAGATAGAAAAGAGACCAGGCAGAAAGCCAATGCCTCAATATCTGAAGAGTGAACTGGGTCCAGACTAGAGCACTGGCAGTAGATGTGGACAAAGAGGTGGATTCAAGAAACACTTAGAAGCTTGAGTTAACACAATTTGCTCTTAGAGAAAGGCAAGAAAATTCACTTAAACTCAACTGAGGAATAAGAATGATTTGGGGAAAAAAATACATCTAAAACTCTAGCTCATAATCTATTGACTAACTTTGGGAGCAGAAAAGTAAAGCTAAAAGTTTCTTCAAAGACTGCAAATTTATATGGTTCCTGTGTTAGCTTTCTGATTCTGTAATAAAATGCCTGAGATAATCAACTTAGAAAAGGTTATTTTAGAAGTTTCAGTCCATGGTCAGTTGGCCCAGTTGCTTTGGGGCCTGTAGCAAGACAGCACAATATGGTGGAGATTGTGTGACAGAAGAAGCCCCCTGTTTGTACACCTCGTGGCCAGCAACAAAAGTAATGAAAAGAAGGAGCTGAGATCCCACAATCCCCTTCAAAGGCACACTCTCAATGACAGGAAGAACTCTCCGTAAGCCCCATTTCTTAAAAGTATATATCACTTAGTGCCAAGCTGCATACTAAACTTTTAACACAAGGACTTCAGAGAATGTTCCAGAAACTACAGCAATTGCCAAGCATCTACTGAATAAACAGTGCCTTGAACATGCACATACTCTGTGTATGCGATTAGTAAAATCAAAGTTCATTTATGAACATTACTGAATTCATAGTATCCTTTTGCCCATCTGTATTTTCTCAGCCAAAACATGATAAAAAGTTATCATGTGGAAAAGAGATCCTGGAAAATCTAGACCTCAAAAAGTAAAATAATTCTCCGTTTGTGTATGATGTGTTCTACATGTTCTACTGTCATATGTAACTAATTAGAACAAATTAAAATAATGATTCTCATATTTGAAAAGACATAGAAGCCTTGGTAACAAGTTATTAGGGACTAAAATTGGACTAGCTTAGTACTGAAAGAACATGGAGGTCTCCTAAGAAAGGAGATGAACCACAATTCTATAAAAGAGGAGATATGTGGCAAGGTTTCAGTCTCAGCCAAGACATAGATCTCATCACACTACAGTGGGGGAATAAAGAGATTTATAAAATTCACATTCAGGAAGTCCCCATGGCAAATTGAAATTTACTATAGGGGAAGTGTTTTATCTTGGGGAATCAGCAAACTCTCAGGGCATTTTCCCTGGAAAGCCAATCAAACATCTGCAACAACAACTGTAATAAACCCTGCAGAGCCCCCCAAAATGGCTTAGGAATCAGATACCAGCACCTCTGAGAATTAGATGGGTGGGGCTTAAAACAGGCAAGTCCCCCCACCTGTCCATCACATACACCTGTCCTGTTCTCTACCTACCCACCCCAAGGATAAGCCAGGAGTTTCCCTGAGAAGAGGTTAATTCAAAGGACTCTGGCCCTGAGGACTCGGGCACAGAAGATGGGGAGAGGTTCCTCACTGAAACATGTAAGAGACCTGTGTGGGACTCTGCATGGGACCTCTG